AAAAGAAAAGAAAAGAAAAGAAAGATGCAGATTTATAATATAAGCTAGAAAGTTAGATTGATGCTTTGATGATTTTGGTTGAATGAGAGAGAACATGGGTTGTGTTCCACAGATTCTGCTCATGATTTTCATAATCATTCTCTCACTTCCATCACCATTAAACACTGCGCACATTAGTGATTCTTTGTCAAACATTGCATATTCACCAGAGATTGACTTCAATGATGGGGTTCAGAATCTGATTGAGAAAGTCTCAGGAGATGATGAGAATGAGGAAGAACATAAAAAAATCTTTTTGTTTGAGAAGCTCAGGGTTTTGCTTGGCTTAAGGAGTTTCCATTTGAGAAGCCTATCAAATGGTAAAGACTCAAAATATGTGTCTTCAACTCCAACTCCATCACCTTCTCCATTGCCTTCTAGCGAAGCCGAGCCGCGAAGTTCAGGTTATAGCCCTTCTCCTGCTCCTGTTAGGCAAATCCATGTTCATCCACATTATGGAAAACATGGATTGCATTCGCTTCATCAGCCCCACAAGATTCAAAGGGAAGGTGATAAGGGAAAAGTTAGGAGAGTTTTGATGGCAGTTCTTGTCTCTATTGGGGCTGCAACTTTGGTTTGCTTAGTTGGACTCATATGGGCTTGCAAGAAGTACAAGAAACACCAAAAGAAGCCAAAAAGAAGAATGTCGGTGTATGGGAAAAGAAGAGGCAGATCCAAGTGTGTGAGCTTCCCAAAGCCTGCAAGCAAGGTGAGCCTGAATCCCGGCCTTGATCTCTTTTATCTTGACTCGCTAGGAAAGGATTTAGAGCAACAACCACCACAGCCTTCTTCTTGTATGAAGCAAGCTTGTGAAACTCTTGACATATCATCACTAAATCATGTCATACCAAAAAGAGAGGAGTCTGTTCAAGAATCTATACGAAAATCGGAATTTGATAATGATAGTAGTTCTTCCACTAGGGAAATCACCTCAGTGCATGATCATGCGAATTCAGTCAACAATGACTATGATTGTTTGACTTCACCTTCCCATTCCCATTCTCCATCTGGAGATAAGATTGTCCCTATTGAGTCTCATTCCTCGGACGACGAGTCGTTTCATTCATTTGGGGAATCGAATTTGTCAAACGTCGTCCGCCTCTCCAATGCTTCACTAGGCAGTTTTAGTGATGCATTAGAGAATTTCAACTCAAATGAGCAACACAAATCACATTTCTTGTTGCCCTCTTCTGTGAACTCAGCAATTAAGCCATCAATCCAAGCTCAAAATTCTTCTTTAGCTCTGAATTTAGCGTCTCAAAGCAATGAAGAACATGACAAACGACAAACTGTAACATGCTCTTCCATTTGTCAAAAGAATCTCACAACTCCTCCTCCTCCTCCACCTCCTCCACCGCCTCTGCCTCCGCCACACGTAAACTTTTTTCCTTCCCATTCTTCTTCTCGTTCAACTGGAATTGAGTCTAAAGCTTCAGGCTCTTCCACATTACCAAAAATATCATCTTCAAAAGAATCAAATTCTCTTTCCGGATCAAAAAAAATATTGCAACTTAGCAACTTGGCTTCTTCACCTGGGAACGCCTCTAAACCTTCAACGAGTCCA